ATAAAGCCAACTATTATCGCTTGAGACATTGACCTTAGTATAACAGAGGGTTGTCGAAGTTCTTTTATATCTGCAAATAAACAATTTAATTCTCATGGGTCATTTATTCAGGTAAATTGGACTTCTTACCTAACTAGATCTAGCCTCGATTTTTCATTTACCCCTTTTATCCGTTGTCTTATTCCTCGAAAAGCCTTAATTTTCTTCCTAATATACTTCTTCCAGTCTATTGAGCAAGATTAATCCACATTTATTATCTGTGCCTTATAAGGATACCGATCGAATTTGATTCGCCTCATTCTAGTCTAAATCAAATAGGGTCTTCGCTTTACTCCACTCTCCTCAATAATGGAGTATTTTTCTAACCACTGAAAATCACATAGCTTGGAGAAAGAGTCCTTGATTTGTTTAGTAAGGAGGTTTAAAAGAAGAGTAGGGCAGGACAGATCGACATTGCAGATGATTGGAAGTGAAGAAGAAAGAGGTTAAAGTTGAAGAGCTCGAGTAAAATTTGTGGTGAAATGCGTTTTATTTATAGCACTCACTGATGAATATGAAAATATTAATTTACAGCCCAAACAAGATAATTGAATAGAAGGCATTATTTTATTTATTTGAGTAATTTGCAAAGGTTAACTTAAGCCTGAAGCTTATTTTCACTGATTTATCAAAGCTACTCAGTTAATCCATAAATGAGTTTTATGTAGCATTTTCTCTTGTAAGTTGTTTTGAATGATTAGTGCGCCAAGCCAACCAGTAATAAGAGGATAGATAAGTGTCTTCTATTTGAATTTCTTTTAATGAAGGGTCACAGCATGCGAATATCAATATTACTACTCTGATTCGATATGATCGGTAGGTAAGTTTAGATAGATTCCTCGTAAATTGTTATGTAAAGTCGTCAGGATATATATTAATTTTCGCTTTATTAGAATAGTATAACTAAAAATAGGGTTGGGCTAACTCCCATTATGACAAAAAAAGCGTTAAACCTGAATCCAACCAAGAGATTACGGCCGACTAGAACGTTATGGTTGACACTTCTGGAGTAGGTCTCCTTTTAGGTTCAAAGCTGAGTATATTTTTACCACAACCGGCTGCGTAAAACCGTGGTCGTACTTAAAATAAAAATGTAAGTGAACCAAACAGTTGTAAAATATGCTTTTTATGCAAAAGTAAAAATTATAAATAGAAGAAAACCTATCACTATACTGACTTTGACTACATAAATGAGAGAAGTCATGAGTGGACATTTTTTTGTATCCCCGATGTAATTCTCAGTTTTCGCCCTCTATAAATGATCCATCATTTTTTACCAGTTTATCTGAAACTGAAGGTAGACCCCGCCTTATTTGTGATTTTCGTACTTTTATAAGAATATTCGAATAAATGATTTTTTATACATATACCACATGAAACCAAGCGTGGTATTTCTGCACTAGCTGCATTAATAAGGTTGCTATTTTAACTCTGACTTGCGTCAGTAAATTATATTTTTCTCAGACTATCTGATCTGGGATTTATTGCGCTCAACTTTTATGCCAGTGGAGTGATATCATAGGGCTTGAAGCTTCCCTGCATTCAGATGGAAATCCTTGACCAGCAAATAGCAGATACATTAGCATGTCGATCCAGCAGCATGCATAGCAAGTCAATTTAGATTGGGCTTCAAGGAATTAGGGAAAGACTGTATTATTGGTAATTGACGATTTTTTTAGGATATTGCGCTGATTGTACTGTAGTATTTAGCTCTTCGTAGCACCAAATAGGGCTTCAAATTAAGGTATGTATGTAAAATCTGTATTCACTCAAGTTCTGTTAAGATGATTAAAGGTAGCTGGTTGGATTCTCCCACAATGATATCAATCGGCCTCATGTTTTCATTGAACTGCACAAAGCCTTGCTTCCCAAACGTGGCGAGATTATGCTCAACGACTCGATTCTGCCTGGAGATGCTGAAGAGACTAAGGTGATGTCGAGACTGCAATCCAATCCAGTCTGAATCAGGATAACTTTTAGGAAGTAAAGCTATGTGAAATTTAATGGAAACATGAGGTTTACTCATATGAGTGTGGAGAAATCCAACTGCCAGTCCTTCATAACCTAAAATGAAATAGGGTGAATACAACTCTTATATCAGATCTACTATTAGTCCCGAAAGCTTACTAATATATTGAAAATTAGAGATAGATTAATCAGAGGCATTATGAACAAGAATATGACATTTACTTAGATAGATTATTGTCTAAGAGGTTAGTCACCATGGGTCGCTTGAAGTGGTTTAAGGACAGTTTTTTGGGTTTTCCCAAAATGAGATAAATATGCCTCACGCTACCTTTGAATTCTACTTAGCCTTGCTTCTCAAAGGCCTATCTTACCCATATTGGACGGCAGTTTCTATTACGCCTAGTACCGTCAGCGAGCTACGAAACCGGGTTGGATAGCTGATTGCCTTGATAACTACTTATATAGAAAATAAGTAGCTTAGTCAATTGTAATGGCACACAATGATTTGCTTCATCTGCAACCCCAATATAAATGTGAGTTGTGCGAAGCATGGCTAGCCGTCAATGTCTCAACTGCCCTGTGACGCAATAACAACATGAGGTTGTCTATTGGAGTGTAATGGTAACAGCACCACGACACTCACGATCCTGCATCGAATCCCGCTGGGGTGCTGGTAAGAGCTCGGAGAAGTCGTAACTGCAGTCCTCTCTGAGTGAGTTAGCCTCTTTAAAGACAAGTCTGGAAGAAATCCAACGGCTTCGTATCTCCTTGTGGGAAAGCTCAATTATGAGTCGTTAAGTCACTTTAAGCGGCCTAGGGTAACTAAACAGTTATTGAAGAATTGTCGAAACCTTCAAAAATTAACTATAACGAAAAGACAAACATCAAACAGAAAGTTGGTCAATGGAGTCATATCACTGTTACCCTTGACGACTTGTGGCTCAGCGCATAGCATTGCATATATTTGTGGTGATGCCGACTACGATGCCGGCTATACTCCCGATACTATACCAGGTCAACGATGCGATGCTGGAAGGGAGAGTAGTATGAGATACTACCACAACAACCAGGCTTTGATTGCGAGGAAGGAATTATTCTTTAACCGGACAACCTGTTTAATTTAAAGGTAAACAAAATGGATGTATCGGGCTATTGCAATTCAGTTTAGAACCGGGAAAGTGAATTGGAACATTAATTTTCTCTTCCATTTTTACTGTTTCACCTCACCTGCAGATGGAAGACAGACCGTGTGAAAACTGGCGCATGATCATTTGTGTCAGCTATTCGCAAACTGATGTTTTTATAGGTCCTGTGGCCAGCCTGATCAGTGCAGATGATGCGAACTTGCTGTACCTGGGTCTCCTCTCGGTCGAGAGGGATTGCTGTCACCAAACTATACTCGATCACACCCAGAGCTCCACTGAAGGATCCGACTCCAGAAGAGACATGACCGGCTGCTCCTCCGGGCGAAATAGCGATTGTTCCGTCGCTAGCACGACCACCTCCGGTGATTTCTCCACCAGAAATCAAGTTACCAGGCGGACCCAGTCCATATTCACCAGTAAGTCCGCTGCTAGAAAACAAGTCAGTTCGCTGAAATGTGGCCAGATCACCGTATGCTGCCACTTGCGCCGGCGGTTGGCCAGTACGCCGGACAAGAGTGAAATTTGGATTGGTTAAATGACAATCAACTCGATCAGTTCCACCAAAGTCAGGATCAAAAACCTATGCCGTGTAGATAAAGAGTAAGGAGTTGTATGAGTAATTGAAGATTAGCAGGTAAAGCGCAAGCTAGGTAAGTCTACAGAATAGTAAGAAGTACATTCATTTTAAGATACTACAGTCGATGGAAGGATGGGAACGATGTGCTACTTTTTGATATCTAAGGAAATTATAGAATCTCTGCTAATATTATCCTAGTACAGTGTAAATCACTAAACATCTAATTTGAACGTCGTGAAGACAGGATCAAAACAGCCCTGTCATTTAGCGCAAATATACTTGGAGTCTGCCAATTAGTGCACCTGCAACTAATGAAATCGCTGAGGTCGGCAATATAAAATTCCACTAAAATTTTTTAAGAGGCATTTCATAGAACTCCGTTAATTGTGCACTTAGTGTAATATGCAATTAATAATTTAAAAGTGGCATTAACTTATACCAAACTCGACTTTCAAGAAGAGGGCATAGGATGAAAATGCGTAAATGCTCCAGCCCCGAACTCTCATGACTTCCTACTCATTTATTAATGCCAAATATGTCTAAGAAATATAAATATTCTCACGTGCCATAAATATTTCATGCAAATAACCCTGAGAAAATGCCGGTGATAGTAAACATGCTGAAAAGCTGAGTTTCAACAAATCTTTCATCAATTAAATATCAGCAAACTTTAATTTTTTCTGAAAAGCTGAGTGGAGACTATCTGTAAAGTGGCCTAACAGGAGACCGGAAGAAGATTGCTTTTGAGTTGTCACTGCAAAATTGAATTCATAAGTTCCCGGCGCATTCAAATGCAACCCGATAAACCATTGTTGCCCATTCTGCTAAGGCAGGTTATGAGAGCGAGAAAGCATTGTTTAACAATTCTCGTCAGGCAATAAGCCAAGAATAGCCCTTCTTCAGGCTTATACTAAGGCAAATTTACAAATCTTTTCACCCAGTTT